CCCCCCCCCCCCCCCCCCCCCCCCCAGCAGATTCGCCTGGTGGCCCCTGCGGGCAGCCGCGTTGCCTCGGAGGACGCAGCCTTTTCCCACCAACCTCCACACGCATTCCTGGACACACCCACGCATGCTCCCCCGCAAAGACACACACAGAGGTATTTTCCCACACGCACAAAACCCTCGTCCTCTCCTGCAAGCTTGGCTAACTTGACCCCAACTACCTAGTGGGTCCTAGAAAAGATACCACCCCAAGAAAACCCTGCTCCCCTCCTCAAAGACACTCGTGGTCCTTCTCCTACACACGCGCACACACTTTCCCCTCTGCGCTGTGCCCTCACTGACACACCACAGAGCCCTGTGTACCTCGAGAACTTGCACGCACAACTTGCATCCACAGAGCCGTGTGTTGCCTGGACAACTTGCACGTACAAGCGCTCAGCTCCCTCCCTACCCCCCGCAGAGGAGGGGCTGTCACAGCCCCAAGCCACTCTTCTCCCGAGCCAGGGAGGGGGACACGTTTGTATGGGCGGGTGGGTGGAGGGTGACAGGCCCCGCTTCCTCCCCAGCACCACGCTCCTTCCAGCCAGCTGCCGGACCAAACGCCCCTGAAGAGGAGCCTTTCTTCCATTCGACCAGCGTTTTATTCATCAGCCACCCAGGGCTTTCCTCTCCCGGTCTGCAAAGAAAGTGCCCGCTGCCTCTGCTTTTATGAAGCCGGGCAGATTGCTTTCGACTCCTCTTTTAACTGGCTGGCTCGGGTGCTCCTTACAGACGTGCTGGGGGATGCGATGCTTCACCATTTCTCTGGTTGCTGGGGGGGGGGGGAACATACGTCGGTCTGCAAAAGATTTCACATAGTGGCCAAACAGGCGCGTGGACATGGGGAAAATGGGGTCCCAAACAGCTAAAGGGCACTACTGGCAGGACTTGATTTCTCTTCATGCCACCTTCTGTGTGCCTGTGAGAAACAGGATCTGGGCTCTAATGACCTGTTTAGATGCACATCTGAACAGGAATGAAGCAATGAGCTGAGGGGAAACACCGAGGGAGAAAACAAGTCGTCCCCTTTTTTTAACCGCGTGAATCTGCCTTAGGCACCAAACCTCTGGGTTTTTCCCTTTAAAAAATCGTGAATGGGAATGAAGAGTTGCTCGCGTTTTGAACATATTTGACAATGCCATGCGATTTTAAATCCAACCCGCCACCTTCTTTTCTTTCTGTCTTTTTTTTAGCCCCCTAATCTTTGCCTCTAAAATCTCATTACTTGGTAGGACCACGACGAAGTGGCGGTGTGTGCATCGCGCCCGTGTGTTCGTGTGAGATGAGTTTCACACCCACGCACCCCGGGGTCTGGGACAAACTTTCACTCTAAAGATGTGTCAGAAGCCCCTTTCGGCTGCCCTGATTTCAATACCCCTTCCCTCACTTTTTACTGTGTTTGCTTGCTCTGGAAACCACATCGCGTAGAAACAATGTGAACAAGACTTCCCCGGCAGTGTTTTAACAATCCTGCCTTTTCTTTTGAATAACTAATCTACCGGTCATCCAAAATATGAAACAAGAAAGGCAAAGGGGAAGGGGGTGGGGGTGGGGGGCTGGAAGTAGTGGGAAAGGAAATCGCTTATATATTGTAAGACTCAGACATTCCGGTTCTACTTCTGTGCTAAACCGCCTCTTGTAATAACTACAGTGTCCCCGTTAGCATTTAATCCTCTGCATTTCACCTGCTCTTGTTTAATTACATACTTTCCCCCAAATAGTTAACTCTGAGGCAGTGCTCTATATATTACGTTAGATGTAATTTCAACACGTTGTGTCTTAACTCCCCCCACCCCCCACCTCTGTTTTGCTAAGAAAGAAAGACAGAAAGAAAAAAGATTTTACGTTTCCCAGCTCAGATCAACCAGTTTTTTCCCACGGTTTTTACGTGCAATTAAAACGATTTTCCATAGATCTCACACTCATTTTCACTAAGCATTGTTCTTTTCTGTTTAAATAACCTAACTTGAAATAGCTTACCATTTTACTCGGACACCGCTCAAGTTTTTTCACGCTATTTCTAACTTGAATTGAGCAGTAACAGTGAGGCGCTTTGTTTTTTGGTGTTTTTGTTTTTAAACCGAAATATATGGCATCTAATATATTTTGCAATAACACTTATCTCTCTGTCTTCTCTTGCTGCGAAGTGATGCAATGCTTAGCCTGTGTTAAATTACAGATCTGCAAGCAGTAAGACTGTTTTCTGTCGCCAAGGTACAAAAGTTGCCATTGTCAGACTAGTAACCCGCGTGTGCAAACAGTATTTTTGGGGGGGGGGGGGAACGTTTTTCAGAAGTAAAAAGATCCGTTTTCCGTCTGCTTTTCCAGTCTGGATGCAACCCAGAAAAAAAAAGTAATTTGTATGGGTGTTTAGTATACTCAGCTATGCGACAGAGCTGAGTTTCAGATGACTTATTTATTTGTTTATTGTCATGTTCAAGCTGGCCTCTGGATGAAAGAGCAACATTTGGGATGTGTTTTATGGCTGGCCGACAGAAATGAAACAGGTTGGCCGCGTTAACAACTGTGTACATTGGAGGAGCAAAGCAATCCAGCTTCCTTTTTTTTAAGAATTGTGCCCCCAAGCCCTGGTTTCAGCCATGGCAAATCTTTTTCAAATAGGGAGGACTTGCTCATAACAGTTTCATAGAAACTTCAGTGTGTGTGTTTGCAGCCTTTACTTCCACCCTTTTTATTAAGGTGAAAGAAAGAGACCCCCACAGTCACACAGTGAAGGAATAATATTTGGGCTGATTAAAGCCCACAGGTGGACCCAAACAGCCGGCTGTCGGTTCTGCTCTCAGCTCAGAGCTACAGGTGAAGTGTTTTGCAGCCGCTGGCTTTTGATATTTATACCTAGTCACAGCTTCACCTCTCCCTCTCTCGGGCTCTTGGCTCTAACATCACAGCCCTCTTCTTGCCACGTCCAGCCTTACCTCCCTCCCCGTTCCCGGCTTCTTGAATCTCACCATCTAGATTTCCTCGTTTGCCAAACTGTGTGCAGCTTCTCCGGGGAGAATCGCCTTTTTTTTTTTTTTTTTTAATCCGGGGGGAAAAAATTCTGGAAAAAAGAAATATCTGTAATTCAGCAACTGAAAATCTCCTGTATCAGAAAACCGACTCAGCCAGACATACCGTGCTGCTAAGGATGGCCACTCTGCTCTCTATCTCGGGATTATGACTAGGATCCGTTCGTTGCGATTTTTCCACCTGAAACTAATACAACAGATCTACAGCAAAGGTCTGTTTTGAGGGCATCAATGGATCGCTTCATTCCTTGATGCGATCGTTCATTTTTGTGCAGCTCCCTAGCCCTGGGATGCAGAGGAGTCATTTTCAAGTTTATCATTTGAAATGAATGGCAGTAGGAGTAGTCCTGTATTAATTATTCAAAACCTCTCTTCTTCCTCCACTGGCGCCCTATTTCGTTAAATCAAGGAGTAACTCGGGAGCGGGTCATGGGCGATGCATCGATTGGCTTTACAAACCGCATTGACTTGCACCTTCTGAAACCGACCCCTGCCCTCACTTCGCAACGCACAGAAGAAAAAAACCTCACCCAGATCACGACTTATTTGCAGGCTCCGCTTCCGACCCCGGCACAATAAGGGTCTTGGGAAAGCAGTACTCGGTTTATATCTACAGGATTTTTTTTTTTCTCTGTAAAATTGTGCGCGTCTTAATCATCCCAAGCAGGCAGCGGTACAAACACTTACGACTCTCCTGCCCTGGGAGGGGGGAAATCATGGACTTTTGCGGTTGTGGCCCTTGAAAAGCAGGTCTGATCACGACCCAAACGTGGGCAGAATAACCCCCCCGGCAGAGTTTTCTAACCCTGGCATACGGGGCTAAAGGACCTGGCGAGAGACGAGACGTGATCTCTCTCTGGCACAGAGAAATGATCAACGGGGCTGAGATTACCCCTCGGTTCCCTTCCACCGCTCTCCCCTGTCTCTTTGGTATTCCGTTTCCTTTTTCTTTCTTCCTTCCCCTTGGCTCCAGCTCTGGGAAGGGGCAGCGAGGGCTGGAGGGGGCTGAATGTATTGGATCCGCTGAGAGACAGCAACCAGACACCCACAACCGGGGGTGGGAGGGGGACCCTTGCCTGCCCGGCACGGAAGGATGTGCTTGGAGAGGTCTACGTCCATGCGAGTGAAGCCACAGCTCGGAGCTGGGGGCCGAGGTACTTATTAGATAAGCCAGGTCGCGGGCACCCTGGCCGCCGCGTGGAGGGCTCATCGCCCCGCCTGGTTTGCTGCAAGAGGCGGGATGCGGGGTGGGAGACACAGGGTGGCCGGCCAGCAGCTCCCTGCCCCTGCCATCCCGCAGCCAGACACGTCGGCCCAGCCCTGGCAAGGGCAGAGGGACCTAGGGGAGGAATCGCGGCAGCCCCACGGGGGCGGCAAGCAGAGTCCCACCTGCGACGGAGGATGCCCCCGGCTGGGCTGGGACTCGCCCGCGGCGGCTCCGGCGGGGCCAGCCCGGCTTGCGCGCACCTCGCCCTGCGGGGCCCAGCCCCGGTGCTGCT